TGTAACCGTTTTTAGAATTTAGTAAAAACTAATTTGTTTCAATCGTGCTGTAAAAGATTGTCTATCAGTTAAGTACTTTGTTTATTTTTTACATAATTAAACTTTTAAACCATAGAAAATGCGACTGAAAGTAAACTGTAGCATATTGCCAACTATCATCATAGTGTGAAAGACAAAAGAGAAAATATAACTAACAGTTTCACATTCTCCTAAGATAAGCTTGTTTAACCTAGTTAACTTTGAATAAAATCAGCTACTACCACAAATTAAAGTGTCATAAACACCGAACCAAAAAATAGTATCTATTCTTTATTCTGTGCTACAGTACAACCAACGCTACAAAACTAACTCATATAGATAGTATTCCCACTTCGCTATTCAAAATAATGGCTTATAACAATGTATACGACAGATAGAATTGTAGTCATTCACGTTCGATTGTCGTTCAAACAAGAGCCTGAGATGTTATTTATTTCATACATAACTACTCAAAAGAATTGTGACATGATAGTTTCACATAGAACCCAAAAATATCCCTATTGTAATTTAGCTCAAAATCCTAGTCAATTCCGAGTCTTTCTGGCCATTGTATACACATTTTTACATTTTAGCTACCCATCTAGCTCACCAATACACCATCGAAAGTTCCCTCTGTACGCTGGCTGGACAGCCTGAGCTGGTAATTTAACTCGCAGGAAGTAGGACAGTTGGTCAGCTTGTCGCTTTCCTTTGGAACCAATTCAGTGTTTCAGTCGGTCTCACGTCGGTGCATGCCGATTGCCGCGCGCTTCAGTTGGTGTTGGTGGTGTCCGTGCATGGGTTAGTGTATAAACATCGTGTGTGTCCGTGATAGTGCAGTCTCAGCATGGTTTTAGAAACTGTGGAAATCATTTCGTCTGTAAGTATTTCAGTACTTCATCTCTATACATCCATTATTTATTGTTATAGTTACTGTTACGGTACTTAACACTTTTGTGATCTATTAGAAACTAACGTGTCCAATATATCATGTATTTGTTGTAAAATTGTGTAACCGTTTAGAGGAAATAAATAAATTATATGTAGTAGGTCTATTGTTAAGGAGGCAAGATAATAGCATAAATGGATACCATAACTTTTGGCCAGGCACACTAATCTATTCCCACGTTAGAAATTATAACCAGGTAAAATAAATACCCCCGCCGCAGCAAACCTGCAGACTAAGCGAATTTCCATTAACCTGATTAGATTTACACTAAAATGCATCCATAAAAATATAACATTTATTTCCTATTTATGTAGAATTAGTTTAACGAGTACTTAGGTTTGCTGCAACAGGGAGGGTAAAAGTGTGTTTTTTGTAATGTTAATAGTTTAGTAAGAAATTAAAGTATTTTCCAAATTCGATCAAAATATGTTCATAAACGAGCAAACTACAACAGTTGACTTATTCTCCATAAGAATAACATGGGAATTTTATAAATTTACAATTTTTTGGAATTTTCTCTGACACCATTAGTAGGCGCACAACAACGCTTCAATATACTAAATTATTTGTTTTTGGGTACTAAAATGGTTTGGAAAGAAATTGTAAAATGTTGTGTTTTTAGGGTCAAAAATGGGAAAACCCTATTTTTACCCCATAAAACCCCATATAAAACCCCGTTCCATTAGTCCGATCATGCTGGTTCGCGAACTCGTTCGAATAAATGTAGGTTTACACGTCTATACCAAATTTCAACAAAATCGGATCATTTTTGCTCGAGTTATCGCGCTAAGGGTATACACACACATATCTAGGGACCTCAAAACGAAAAAGTAAATCGGTCCCGGGTCCAGGTCGTACCATGAGTACTACGGTAATAGCTTATTCCCTATATGGGAAATTCGCTAAAAGGACGTTGTGGTTGTCATTATTGTGCACCAACAACGCACATTAGTTGGAGACTGATTCACCGATTTTGCGAGTTGTCAACCGAAATTTGGGGTTCCGTACAGTACAAGCTGTAAACTTCCATCGGCAACTAGCGTCTGCAATCGAAGTTGGCAATGTTTAGGTTGCCAACTCCGGTGTAAACGCGGCTTTACATTGTGTTATTTTCTATCTTGCACCAAATATTTAATTATGTTAACTATTGAATTTTAAATGCTTTTCATAATTATCAGTGTGAACTTCATTAGAAGCGTATATGGCTCTCGATGAGAGAATTCAAAATGTTGCTTCTTGTGTGACATACTGGGAGGAGGACGTATACTGTTGACGTACTGGAGTGACATAAGAGGATGAGGCCCGCACTTTTATTCGGGTTACCTTCAAAGGAAAAGATTACCGTGCACGATTCTACGCAGGCTCTTTTTTAACGGATTATAGCAATTCTTCATTTGTCTGTGATAATAGTTAGTGAATATTTAATTCAAAGTGTGATTTGATTGTGGGTGAAATATATAAATATCCACTTGGGTCGAGAGTAATAATAATTTATAGTTTTGAAAATGAACAGATCAATGATAGTTAACATTTGTATCACGCATTTTGACAAGACTATTGACTTTTACAAAATAGTTATCTATAATTGAACTCATAAAATGAATTAAATTCTATTTTTTACTTATTTTATAAGCACATAGTGGGCTGTGTTTTAGCTTCATTACAGTGATTTTTCACTTGATCAGTTCCGAGGAAGTATTTCTATTGTATCCTCACATGACGAATATTATTTTATATCGTGATAGTTATTTAAATGATTGTAACAACAGGCTACAGTAGGTTGTACGTTATCAAACTGGAATTTTAATCCAAAGGCAATAATTCAATGTCTTCGGTTCGGTTACTTACACAGAGACCACCGAGCAATAACAATACTAACAATAAGGCTGGCCCCCCACTCCCCACTCCTTGGAAAAATCAGACAGGTTAAATTATGACTTCTTGGATCAACGTGCTGTTGCGTTTGGGTTCGGTTTCGGTTCAGGGTTCAGAACCTGGTGGGCGGGAAATAAACATAAACATAACCTAACTTGCAGACGACGCGACGCGGTTACATAATCAGCTGTGGTGAACGGAGATGCCACAACAAACTCAGCTGTTTACTTCGCCTGTGAAAGTGTAAACAAATATTCACAGATATTGCCTTTTTACAATTCTCATTCTCAGTCGAGATTGTGTGTAGTGGTAGTGAGGGTGACATGCCTTTGAACAGTGCGCGTCCACGTTTCACTGATAATGCCTGTGATACTGTGTCTGTCGAGCGGTTCAATATGGACACAGAAGATAGAGGGTATTTGCTTCAAGGAATACAAGTTAGTGCATTCTTGCCACTATTTCGTTGTGTGTTCTCTAATTCTATGATTGTGTCCAACAACTATAACGGTTGATAATTTTATTAGCCTCTAAGCTAGAGAAGCATCATCTATAAAGTTTAGAGAGGTTATCTGCTAGGTACCACTTTTGTTGTTATTGTTAATGCTGGATCATATTTTTCCCTATTTTCAAAATATAAGTCCATTTGAATTTTTCATCAGAAGTTCAAATTCCTTGAGTAACATTTTGATTAAACTTTATAATCACTGATAAAAAATGGGGTTGAGGCTACACAATTTTTGAAAATAACATATTTATATTTTTGTTAGTGTCATATGGCAATTTGAACCAAAGAACCACAAATACTTTGTAGGAAATCCGCTCTAAACCCTTAAAATCTTATAAGATATCCCATATGGATATGGATTGAATAACCTGTACCGTACTTCTATCTCTAAGCACCGATAACCATGCCAACCACATAGGTACCCTCTAACACATAAAGAAAAAGAGAACAATTAATCTTAATCTAAGTGCAACAATTTATTAGGTCAAAATATTAGTCTAGATTTAGGCCAGGCGCACACAGGCGATTTTGAATCGCGCAACAGTTGCCTGACTAATCGGGGGACTGTTGCGCGACTCACTCGGAGACTCTGAAGTCTAGCGACAGTTGAGCTGGATAGCGCACTCAGGCAACTTTTTAGTCGTGAATCTAGTCTTGAGACGTGTTGGAAATACATTCGTTACAGCGTTCTGAATGGATTTCAATGATACAGCCGTAGTATGTGCTTTGTTGCTGAAGTTTCGTGCGCGAAAGAAAAAGAGAAGATACTGGGTTCATCCCATATATAGTGAGCGATTTGTGAAAGGACAGTTCCATTTTGTACAATGACTTAGAGAACACCCAGAGAAGTTTTTCAAATATTCAAGAATGAGTGTCGGGAGTTTTTATGAACTGTTAACACTTGTGAGACCAGCAATTTCGTATCAACCTCTTCTCAACTTCATCAATTAATTGTTCGACATCCTCATCACGCACACTCATACTTGTAATTTTCTAAAAACTTCACACACACAACAAGTGAGCAAACACTAGTGACAGTTCTGGCCACGAGTAGTTCCTGGGGTGAGACTGGGCGACACAGCGACTATTTAGTTGCATGTGTGCGCATCTACACTCGTTTCAATGGATACCAAACCTGGAGCGACAGTCCCGCAACAATTCAGTCGCAGAGCAGTCGCTGGCAAATTGGGTCCGGGAACATCGGTTGCAACAGTTGCGCGACTGTCCCCAGACTGTTTTCTTCGTGTGCGCACTCCAATTTAAAACAATGTTGAACATTTTAGTCGGGCAACTGTTGCGCGACTCAAAATCGCCTGTGTGCGCCTGGCCTTAGGAAATAATTGCTGTGTATAGCATTTCAGCGATTCCAGGAACTTCACTTGAAGCAGGTGTTGAAACAGCGATGAGGCTAAATCCCCAACCGAGACCTCAACTCAGGAATTTTTTTTTCTTTCATCATACACTGAAGAAGAAAACAAAATCCTTAGGTAGGGGTTAAGAAAACCATATATCTTCAGTCGTTCTCCCCATGCCTTCTTCTTGACTTAGCTACCTGCTCGTTTTAATGTTTTTCCATAATATCTCTTATTGTGTATTGATCATCCTGTTTTACTGGAGAAAAATGAATTCACATAGGTATTTGTTTTGTTTCAGAAACACAGATATCCAAAGTCAGTGTTCTTCATAGTTGGAAATGAGTTTTGTGAAAGATTTTCCTACTATGGGATGCGAAGTGAGTACATACTAAAAGTTGTCTTGTAATGTTGGTTTTGATTCAAACTGTGCCTAGATCCCACCTCACTACAACTAAATTTACTTGGTACAGTACTCACTTTGGGGTTAATTAATTGTGGTTCATTGTTATGTTTTATGTTCACCCAATGGCACAACAAATAAGATACTTTTTCACCTCATTCATCATTGCCTCTTTGAGGTAAAACCTTTAAGACACCCAGCCTGTTCATATAGTGCCAGGGTTGGTGGATCTTATATCAAATGAAAATACTTTGTGAAATCAAAAATGTTATTTTGTTTCCTAAATATTCAGTTACACACACATTTACTCTGCTGCAACCAGGGGAAATAGACACTAAGTAATATTATTTCATGTTGCTCTGATTACTCACTACACCAAACATTCCACCTAGATAAAGGAGAGTCTGTATAATGGAGTTTATATGCATTTTTCACAATAGTAAAGAGAATATGGCTAGGTAGCTGAAAAAGTTCCTAAAAATAAACCTCGAGGAAATGGTTGTTTTTTCATGTTAAAACCTAGTCTTTAATAATTAATTGATCCTTGCTTTATAACTAGCAGATCTTTGTACCAAAAGTGCACATTGGTAGGATGACATGTGTAAATACTACTAAATATGTAGTTAATAGTGTTAGTGTGATTGTCGAAGTTCCTCCTCCTGGCAAAATATATGTAGGATAATGATAATATAAAACTATAACTCAAGGACACGGGCAACAAAAAGTAGGACTGGTAATTTAACTCAATTTTTTCATTATCAGTATTCTATATTTCTAAATCCAGTATTTTGGTGTCAGATAGATCAGATTTGATATAAACTATATTATTAGACTGTAGCATATCATGCCTTTATGAAAGCTCCCAGGACAGTTAGAATAATTTACATTTCCATGTATTTTCCAGCCATCCTCTCCCTGTACCTGGTGGACATTCTTCGCTACAACGAGGACTCGGCTACACTCATCTATCATGCCTTCGCCATGTTTTGCTACTTCTTCCCTCTCTTTGGAGCCATACTGTCCGACTGCTACCTTGGAAAGTTCAAGTAAAATAAAAAGTTTTAATTTCCCTCTAATTTTTGATTCCCCATCACTCACAAGAATTTATGATAATGTCAATTAAAATATTACTAAATCTTAACTTTAAAAACTTTTACCTATTACAGAATCTTATTGAAGTGATAAATTTACCAACCCCTCATTACAATAGCTGTGGATGAAATTAGGGGAAATCCAGATTAGGACTCTTTTAAACAAATTTGACCTAAATTTAGTTGAACAATAAGTTATCACCCTTTAAAATTAATTGCTTTTGATGTTCTTGTAGCTATGTTCATCTCTGGTATATGTTTAAGTCAGTGGTTTAGTCTAATGTTTGATGGATTTTGAAACCTTGTGAGTTATATCACAGGTTTGGCAAATTATTTTTAAATGTATGATTTGTTTGCAGAACGATCTTCTACTTGTCGTTAGTTTACGCAGCGGGAAACATCGTTATATCATCCTCATCATCGCCACTGTTTGGTGTGGATCATAAAAGGTATGACCATTAAGACTCATTCACATGGGGTGAGTTTACAAGCTACACGCCGGCTTTTTACACTCAGCTCGTACACTAGCTCAGTGTGAATGACGTACTCACTCAAAAGCTGCTTTTAAGAAAGTTCTGGAAAAAGTTGATTCTGCCGGGGACTAACACGCCTACTCACCAGTGCTTGAGTGAACTAACATGTAAAGTAGCCCAGTGTGAACACAGTTGCTTGTGCTTCCGCACATGTTTTTCGAACATGTGATAGTAACTGTGTTTAAGGAAAGTGGTAGTAACTTCACTCTAAAGTTTTACTGTAGTTAAACATAATATAATCGACAAACATTAGAGTTTTGAATAATCCAATCTAGATCACCTGTGGAAAAATAGGACAAGAAAGAAGGTTCATTTACAGGGAAAATAATGAAAAAAAAAATGTGTAAAAATGTTAAAGTTCTATTTAAACAATAACAACTTAACCATGCAAGTTATGTTTATTAATTGTGTATAAAGCACATAAATCTTAAAAATATGTTTGTTTTGCAACTATTAACAGAATGAAAAATAAACAACCTAGTAAAAAATACTACCAAAACAATAAAACATAAATGGACTTAAGTTATGATTGGAGTCATAAAGTTATGATTGGAGTCATAAAAGTCAGTGATTTTCATTTTCTCCTTAAAGTTAACTAACCACTTTTAGCATATGCTTTCGATACACATTATTGTATATGTGAAGACAATGCATCTTTACAGTTCACTAAGAGATTCTGATCCTCTTTGCAGATTCTTCAGTTTGCTCGGACTGTTGCTGATCGCTGTGGGCACAGGTGGTATCAAGCCTTGTGTCTCATCGTTCGGAGGTGACCAGTTTGTGCTGCCGCAGCAGGCCAAGCAGCTTGCACAGTTCTTCTCTCTCTTTTACTTCTCCATCAACGCCGGCAGTCTGCTGTCCACTTACCTCACTCCAGTGCTGCGCCATGACGTTCAGTGTTTCGGCGAAGACACCTGCTTCCCGCTGGCGTTTGGTGTTCCCGCACTCCTCATGGTAATAGCTTTAAGTAAGTGATCAGTCGTGAGCGGTTAGGTTAGGTGAATGGTGTGAGGAATATTGATGTAATAATTAAAGACCTAATGAATAATTCCTTATTATATTTCGACGCTTGCAAGACAAAGGGGCGTAGGTACATATGATAAGCTTAAATACTTCAGTAACTTTGTCATGTAAGCGACAATTTGTTCACTCAATTGTATATAGAAAAGGTCATAATTTTTGCCTTGAAACTAATAGTGTTATCTATAATTGCTGAATTATCCAGCTTATTTGATCATGTTTTCATTTATTTGTGTGATATAGCATTTTCCACTCTGCAGTGCATTATAATTATTTTTTTAGTTTGTTGTGCAACGATTAAAAGTGCCATGATGATAATTGGATTTAATTGTTAAACATGTACAAATATCAAATCAAGAAAGTAAACCTACTTTCTTCAAATAGTTGGCCAGTAGCTTTTACTGTAAAGTAGGACATATGCTCATTGTTTGTTTTTGTTTGCTAAACGTTAAAAGCAATTTAATATACATTTCAGTTCAATATCTTATGTTTTCATCCACATTTTGTATCACATTTAAAATAGTTTTTGGTTTTTATTTAAATATATATTAAAACTATGTTCATATGAAAATTTCTCATGTATCCATATCGATCAGTGACGAGAAGCAAGACAATTATTTTTAGTCAAAGTAATCTACTGCCAAGTTATTCATTTGTAACATTAACTTAACTAACCTGTGATTTTTGTTATTTTTCAGTAATTTTCCTTCTTGGCAAGAAACAATATGTCTGTAAGAATCCTGAAGGCAACATTGTTGTAGATGTATCTAAGTGTGTTTCAGTAAGTATGTTTTTTGGTATTATTAATCCAGATTATGTGAGTTGGGGAGCGAGCTGGTGCAGTGGTTAGAGCACGGGACTTCAATCCCTGAGGTCCTGGGTTCAAATCCCGCCAAGTCACCAATGGATTTTATCTAAGTGATAATGCCGCAACCCGTAGGTCTAGCTTGAAGTACAGTAATGTGAAAAACAATCCCATGCTTCTGCCTAGCGTCCTAGGAAAAAAAAACAAAAAAAAACCAACAACAACAAATCCAAACAAAAAAATCCAGTGAATGATTTATTTATAACAAAAAACAATAAATTGTAACTTTCCATAAAGAAGCTACCAATACTATTGTTTTGACATTTCTGTTAATGCAGCCTAACAGTATTTCACCTGAACCCTCCATCGCATGCGTTGGTGCATAGTGGACGTTACCGCTGGCATTAGATTTTAGTTGGTTATGTTTATTAGAGTGTGCTGTTGTTGATTGTTTTTAGAATACAGAGATAGCTTCTGCGGCGCACCCTACAACAAGACTTTTTATTGCAGAGTTAATTTCCACATGCATCTGACAGATGTATGATTCTGTTTAGTGCTTAATTTTACATTACTGAATTTTTTCACTTTGAAATTGCCGTGCACCCAAAGGCTTTTCAAAATCAGTGTGCCGAATAAAGTTTAATGCACCTGAAATTAACAATATTTTATCTGTTTTCAACATTTGAAATGAACAGTATTCCTCCGGTTTTTGGTAGGGCGCCCAGAAGATAGATTTACATGTGTAAAAAAATTAATAGTATTTAATCTATTTGTAAATGTACCTGGCGTTAACAGTATTTCCCATGTTGCAGCATGCCGTGTGTCAGAAGGTTCAATCAGCAGAGAAAAAAGAACACTGGCTTGACCACTCCGTGGATCGTTTCGGCCAAGGTCTTGTCAATGACACCAAGGCTGCAATGGCTATTCTGTGGATGTTCCTCCCCCTCCCCTTCTTCTGGGCACTTTATGACCAACAGGTGATCAGTTATTTTATTCTTGTTATTTTATTTTTTTAACCAGACTACTTAGCCAGTTTTATAACATTTCTTTGTCTGCTTGTATGGTTTTTATTTTTAAATTAGCAGTTTTTTTCAAACTGTGCCAATTCCATATGAAAAATTAAATGGTAGTTAATTACAGCTTGTGCTGACCGAGTGGGTTGGAACCAATTGTAAGATGTGATTCCTCCTGTCCCGGCAATTTTGAACTACATAGAACTCCAATTATACGAACTCCAACTATTGAAATCCAAATGAATATCTGAATTGCTTACAGAAAGAATTTATTCAAACCTTAAACTATAGTGATAAAAACCATTATTAATGAAGGCTTGCTGTGATCTATTCAAAATCCAGAAAATTTCCTGTGGTCGTGTAGAAATCATCATTTTTTCCCACAGGCACAGAAACGTCATCATTGTTTTCCGCAATATCATTGAGGTGAAAGTATTAATTTTTCAATAGCAAAATCTTCACAGATACGTTTTGCGATCACAATCGATAGTCAAAGCTTGGCTCAACTCAGCTTATTTTCTATTAAATACTTTAAATTTCAGTACAAACTATTTGAATTTTTGATTATCTGAATAATACGGTCCTGATTGATTTGGATAGTTCAAATCATATCAGTTAGAGTTCTAGCTGTATTCTCTTACATTGAAAACTAAAAATATGAATCTTCTACCCAAAACTAAACTCCATCAAAGATCTAACACCATTAAAAATCAGAAGATTGTTTGTTGATCCTCCTGAAAGTTCAGAAAGTTTTTGATGGCTTGGAACAGAACCCAGCTGTCACTGCTCTTTGGGCTTTTAGTTAATGGTTCTGGCTAAAAAACCAAAAGTTAGTGAGTAGTTAGTATCAAAGGTGTCATATAATTTATTCAACATTCCTTTACTCTATTTCCCTTCAAAATACACATTAATTTGCACCCTGATGTTTTGGTGTCAAGTTAATCTAATCTAAAAGCAGGAACCTATATTTACTATTCCTCTTGTTGCAGGGCTCTAGGTGGACATTCCAAGCTACCCGCATGGATGGCAGGCTCGGGCCGTTCACCATCAAGCCTGACCAGATGCAGGTGGTCAATCCATTCCTCATTCTGACATTCATCCCCCTGTTTGATTCCGTGGTCTACCCAGCGCTCGCCCGATGTCACCTCCTCACCCGTCCCCTGCAGCGGCTGTCCGTGGGAGGTCTACTGGCTGCACTCGCCTTCCTGGTGTCTGCATTTGTAGAGATGAAGCTTGAGGTGATATATTTTAATCTGGAGATATAGTAGGCGTAATTGCATATTGGTTGAAGTTTTGGAACTTAGGTGTAAGAAGGCTTTTGATGGCATATCTACATAAATTTGAGAGGTGGACTGGACAATCTTACCAGTGTTTGAGTTTCTTGGTTTATAAATGCCACAGTTGTATATGGTTTATACTATTCCGCGGGTCTAAAAAAAATCTGATATTCATTGAATGCTGGGTAACAGAACTCTAATAATGCTGGTGCATCCATGAAATAGACCAGCTGGTAAAAAAGGTGTGCACAGGTGAAATTGCTCTAATTTGAATTTGTCATAACTGATATGGAATCTGGAATCGTACGGTAACACTCAAGTTGAATAAATTTGTGGACAATGTTTGTAAGATCTTAATACAAGCTATTTATAGGTTATTAATTTTGTATGAATAACCTTTTTCAGACTCAAACTATTATGATTATTATCAGTCATTCAAATACACAATGTAGGCAGGCTTCTTCTTCCTCTTACAAATTCAGAATGATCTTCTCTAAATCATCTATTCCTCACAACAATTTAATATAAGCAGTAAAACCATTGAAAGACCTTTTAAGTGGCAATAATAATAAATTAAGTTAGTTAGTGGTATTTAAAAGGATTTTTGTTTTATTGTGGCGTATCCTTTGGATTACTATGATTATTAGGATACATACAATTTACAAGGCAATCCAAGTGATCTTTTTCTTGTAGTTAAACTACCAATGTATTCAAAGACCTTAATGTCTATTTTCAAGATTCATCTTGTGAAACACAGAAGAAAACACATAAAAACTTTTTCTGTGTGGCCACGATTAAAAGTTAGTTGGACCAAACGTGTGTGTAGCCATCAGAAGTTCGGTCATGACACTTATGTGCAACAAATATTCACACCATCCAGAAAATGAAGCCATCAAGATCTTCAAAACCACTGTAGTTTAACTACAAGTAAAGGATTACTTGGTACATAACTACATAAGGTTATTATAACCTACTGTTGTAAGAATGTTTGTGTTCCATCCAATATTTGATTAATTTACTATTGGATACTGAAGTAGACGTCCCATCTATATGGACCAGCTGTAGCCAATTTTACGTTAAAAAGAACGTAGTTGTGTGAGCCAGTCACGGAATGCGCTAGTGACTAATTATTTTTTGTTGCTGGCCAAGTTGATGGGTCATAACAGTTGCTACAGCTCACAATAAGTAATTTCATTAGTTTGAATTGGCAAAAATGATTGAGTATTTAACAGAAATCACTCATTTAGATCCAGCACAATCTGTCGGTGGCTCACATGAACTACGATGATTTTGGTAAAAAAGCTGTATGGCTACAAATTTAATATGGGATGCAATGTCTAGTTGTAGCCTATTACAATCAAAGGTTTGATTCCAAGTATGACTGGCATGCTTTTTTATAAACTGAACATGATAAATTATTGGCATTTTAGTGGTAAATATCAAAATATATATTTATATATTAGGTATAAATATATAACAAATAAAAATTTTAGTGAAATAATTAATTATACTTGTACAATTCATCACAGGCCACTTACCCGGTTCTACCAAAGGCAGGCATCAGTCATCTGAGGATATTCAACGGACTGGACTGTGCAGTGGATGTACAGTCTTCAATTGCCACTCTTAATGGTAGAGTGGCCTCACTAGATAGTCTGCCACTCGTGGACATCCCACTCACAGACTCTGCTCAGTATACGCTCAACTTCACCACTCTCAACTGTCCTCAGCTCAAAAACGTCAACTTTACTGGCGCTGTTACACTCACGGAGGCTCAGGTAAAATGAATTTTTTACCAGAGGGATATTTTCAACACCAAAAAAGTTTTCCTAGCCGAAGAAACGTACCGTTTTTTTCTAGATATATGTGTGAAAAGTTTAAGGTGGGTCTAAACGATTAGCACACCACTGCCACCGCGTTATCACTTACAGTACAGTCCACCAGAGTCTGCAGTTGAGGGAGGAGCCTATTTACCATGTGACTTCGAAGGAGCCAATGAGGACCATGCTCTGTTGCCAAATCTAATAATACCGGCTGATTTGAAAATATTGTTTGGTATATTTTAATTAGTGTCGAAAATTAGTGAACAGGCGATGTTGCAACGTTGCGCTAGTCCAGTCTTGCTATTGGCTGTCACCAACTGTAGACTCTCGTGGCCTCTAGTCTAGTTAATAGTCAAAAGTTAATAATGGGATCTGGGACTCGTGCCACCAGGATGAAAGTTTAGTTTAGTGCTATGGTTACTATAGACCTGCTGCGTCCCGTACCAAGCATAATTTGTCATAGAGAGGTTTAAAACCAAAGTGCTAATGTTCAATTAATTTTAAGAATTAGAAAAGGAGTATAATAGTAACTAACTAGTGAAAGTTGGGTAAACTAAATGTATGTTATAACTCTTTGGAGAAATCTGTCTAACATAGTAAAAATATGCATTTGTATTCCTATAGGCTGCTTTTATTGAAATGAAGCAGTTAATATTCAGGCCAGACTATTGAAAGACATATACTTGCTTACAATAGACATATAATTAATTGTGTTAGTGAGGATGGTATTACATTTATACAACCCAACATTCCTAGGTGTGTATTTGAGGTGAACATGGGGAAGGAAGAAATTGAGTAATTGGAATAGCCTTATTTTTACTCGACTAAGGTCATCTGCCTTCGTCTTTTATGTCTTTTAGGTTTTACTTTCTCCCCCGGCCAATACCATAGTATATGGAGATAAATTATTGTTTTTGTCAAAATTTTTGAGTTTGAGTTTTGAGTGGACATATCTGTTTTGGGTCCCCCTGGACCCAAAAAAGTGGGTAAAATAGTACAACCACACATTGCTGTAAAAATTGTGGTTCAAAACCAAAAGTAATCATAGTTACTCCCTCCACTAACCCATGATAAAGGTGGTGGACAAGCTAATGGGAGAAAGTATGTGTCAGATTGCTGAAACTGTTTATTTTCTTCTTGAATCTATAACTTGAATTTTTTTGCAGGCAGTGTCTTTGTTCCTTCATTCCACCCTGGGCGTGCCAACAGCCTCGCAAGTTCCTGGGTTTGATGCAGTTCAAAAAGACAGTGTTAATCCGATAATAAGGTAAAATAGTTCAAAGTAACATCGAGCTACATTAGTGTACAGTACTAATATGTCATATCACAACACCCAATTGAATAATTGTAAATTGATCCCTATTTATAACACAAGATTGTATACTGTAGTTGGCGTAGACCACTACTAAAAAAAAAAAAAATACTATAAAAGAAAAGGTATAAAATTACCTGAGTACTGCCAGAGTGATCCTGTTACTGTAGTCCTCATGGATTACGCGTTTCGAGGAGCTTAAGTCTTCATCATTAGATCTAGTACAAGAACATTTAACACTAGTCACTTCGAAAAAGTCGTCAAGAGTTCAAATACAAAACACGGACACATAAACATAATTACATTTTTAAGCAATTTTTATGTGCAAGTTAACACAACACAGCAGTTGTTTATGGTTTAAGTGAACATAATGCTTTAGGAAGGAAGATAAGTTGCTCAGTGTTATTTGTCCTGCACACTTGAAGAAGTTCATCTATTATTATATTTATCCAGGGTTTTGTTCACTACACCACCAAAGCAAGAAGTTCTGAAGCTGACCCAAGACGGATACAGCAAGAATATTGTCCTGCACAATAACACCTTTAACACTCTGCCTGTACAAGTCCTCAAAACTGGAAGGTATGAATGTTTTTGTTTGCATTGAATTGTTTTTAGATTCAAATTGTTAAACTATTATTTGAGTTAAGAAATAACTCAAGAAAATAATTATATTTTTTGTTTTAGAATCTAGAAAATAAATTGCCTTTTTGACTTAATGATTTATCTTTTAAAGTAATATCTTTGACTATTGATACAACAGTATCCAATAGTCAATGGTAATATCAAAAGTTAATTAACCTGACATGCAACAATAGGCTAAGACTTGAGAAAGCTCAATAATTGTATATACTCATTCAAATTTTATGATTACCAAACAGAATTTTCATTGCGCCAATACTCTTTGTAAGTCCAAATGAGAAGAAAGATAAAATACTTTTGTATTTGAAAAGAATTGTATAGATTGCTTTTAATGAATTCTATAACGAATGATAACAACAAAATAATAACAAAAAATACAATAAAGTTTGTAACAGAACAACAGAACTAGTAATAAAATAATAATAGAGTACTAGTAATAGAGTTGATGTGGTCATGAATTGATACGCTAGTATGTGTACTCAACTCATACAAAAGAGCTACCAGTATATGTAAAAAAAAAATACTTTTAGTCCAGAAACCTTGGTTAAACGTTTTTTAACCATACAGGTTTGAACTTGAGCTTGGAGGTAACAAACTGGTGTCTAATGTTGAGCTCAACCCTGCAGGAATTTACACGCTCATCGTCAACTCAGACTACAATGACAAAATTGTAAGTTTTCTATAAATTGATTTGGATCAGTGGCGTACCGACGGGGGGGCGGCGGGGGCAGTCCGCCCCAGGCCCCACACCAACATAGGCCCCCAAATCAGGGCCGTATTTACCTATCTTTGAACACGGTCATTGCCGAGGGCCTCTTGGCCTGGGAAGGGGCCTTACTTGGGTCTAAAAAATTGGAAAATAAATTTTGCTTTTGAATATAACAATCTGTTCTCACAATCACCGGAAGTGTATGCAAAGATTGCGCGATCGAAAATCACGACTCCCAGCAATCGCGGGTGACGATAATAAGGTCTCGCAACCGCAAAAGATGTTCCGTGTTCACGATTTCGCCGCGATTGCGGGGGACGATAATATTGTCCACACGTTCGCCGGAGATGTTAACGATTTCGGCTTGTAGAATATATCCCTGCGTCCGCGACAGCGAGCACTAAATGGTCCGCGAAAGATGTTCACTATTCCACCGTAAACATAGGACATGTTTACGATTGCTCCGCGGTCTCGGAGATCCCGCGCGACCGCGGCAGACGGAGATTACAACCCCACAAACACGGACGCTCACGAGTTCATCTTCACCGAGGACAATATCGTTCTTTTTTGCCCCGATCGTTTGGCTCAATTATAGTAAAATATAATGTATATAATATAAAGATAGGCTAATATAATTATATAATGTATTTTATACAATAATAGTAGGCCTATCTCCTAAAAAAAAAGAAAGAAGTGTCAGAAAAAAACTTGATTTGTGTTACTTCTTGGAGTGCTCGTGCTTATTTCGAATCTCCAACTCATAAAAACTTAAAATGTTAAAAATTTAAAGGAAAATTTAATTTAGCATCATTCAAATTTTCCCAAATACAAAAATAGATTACATTTAAAATAGTTGAAGTAAGCTTATTTAATCAGTGATACAAAATAAATTAAAAGCGTATATTTCTTTTTAATTCTAATTACTGTTTAGGGTTACTTTTTTAATAAACACCATGGTACCCTGTTTAAAATAATTTTAAACATAAAATTATTTTAAACAGGGTAGGCCTACTATGGTATTTATTATTTCACTTGTATATATATGTATGTAAAAAGGCCCTCTCATCTAAGCCGCCCCAGGCCCCCAACTATGACAGTACGCCACTGATTTGGATGCATCGGAAGTTTAGTTTTGCCACCATACAAGCCAAGTGTTATGAATTTTGTAGTTATAAGGTTCGTTTACGATAGCAAACCCAGGCTTTACACTAATTTGAAATTTTTTGTAAGATTAAAATGTTTAAATCACCAACATTAATCTTAAAAATAGATCATTGGAAACAAAATGGTTGTTTAAAAAAATAATTAGAGCCCTGAACAAACTGTGTTACAAAACTGAACAGTTTTCATTTAAAGTAAGTAACCTCTCAAAACTACTTCTAACTTGTTTCAATTTAATTTGCTAATGGAAACAAGCAGCTGTTTAGTAAGTGATTCAATCGTTTCGTCTATTATGATTGTGTTAGTGTACAGTATACTATCGATATGTCAATCTGTTTACAATAAGGCAACAATAAACTACAACCGATTAAAAAATCAATACATACCATTGTTTACAATCAAAATTTACAACTGAGTTGAGAACAGCAGATTTTTATTCCCTAGGGGCTAAAAACGATTTTTAATCCCTAGAAAATAAAAATGCTACTTTAGACTCGCAACGGCTGCAACGCATGCATTAAAAACGGCTGTTTTTGTTGCAGTATGACGGAAAAGCAAATTAAACTCTCTTATACCATCAGCTAGTACTTGAAAAAAATATGGTAAATGTTTATGAAATATCAACCCCAACAAAAATTATGATATTTATTGTTTCTGTTTAATTAATTGGATGACCAACCCAAAACTTAAATAGTTATTTGTACAACTAGTGAGAAAAGTGAGCAATTGACTCACTCGAGAGAAATCCTTACTCACGAGCCGTAGGCTCGTGAGGAATGGTTTCTCGAATGAGGCAATTGTACTTTGAACTCGAGTTGCACATTATACTTTTCCTACAGTTACCATAAAACAAATAAATTGGTGAAGAAACATAACCTATTTTTCACAGAAGTGAACTTTTAATATAACATTTAACGTGAAGTGACAAATACAACAGTACAACAGCTGACCAGCTGATTTACAGCCAGTGCTGCCAACGTATTTCGCGCGCATACGACGTTGCCTGCATGTTACGCGCTCACTATTTCGTGCCTTCACGTTGCAAATCTGGAGTGAGACAAAGTAATTAGAGTGAGACAATGTTAACATTGTGAGACAATGTTAACATTGTCTCACTGATGAGCGAATTGGCCACTTTGCTTTCTCAAATCAGTGAGAGAACATGTACATTGTTAGGTAACTGTAGGAAAATTGTATTTGTTGCTGTGGATCTTATGTCGAACAACCATGGAAAGTACCTTGGAGTCTCTTGGGATCATTCCCATACTAATATTGTACATGACCTTGCTAGGTCTATAAAGGGCGTAAACCCACAAACCTTGCTGTAAACTACTGTACCTACTACTGTCTTGTCTTTTCTTTGGTGTATTCTGTGGCTGGGTATTTTGCTTTTGTGTTGATTAACAGAGTTGATGTCTGAGAGATAGATGTTAATTAAATAGGGTCATAAGAGAAATTAGTGGTAAGTGGCAATTCCTCTCCATTGATATATTAACTACCGGCTTTTTTAATGACTCTACACTGAAAATCACAAGCAAAAAGGCTCATGAAGAGTAAAGTAAACCCACCCTACAGCTACATATTCATGATTAATTTCCTCAGAAGTTAAGCTGATGACGAAAGTGTTACAGTAAATTGTGAATTAATTCACAGCTTTCTGTTACTCAGGAAGCCAACTTAGTCACTGTGACTCCACCAAACTCCGTCCACATGTTGTGGCTTCTGCCGCAGTACATCATCATCACAGCCGCGGAGATCATGTTCTCAATCACTGGCCTCGACTTTTCCTTTACTCAGGTATACCACTAAGGGCTTTTGATTTAACTGTTTGAAAAAGATTTGTGACATTTTTTTAGTAGATAGTGTTCATTAAATAATAATTGAGTTTGAGAAGAGAAAGAAGGAAACCATCCTGAAAAATAAGTAGCTTATTTTACTATGTTTTGTCCTGTTTTTTTTCTTTTTTCTATAAGTTGGATCATAGATAAAACATACTACTTAGTAGATTTCCCATCCTTATGGATCAGCTGAAGACAATTTCATTGTTATAGTTCTGTCCAGTGCGCTTAAGAGGTTGTGTTTTGTTTATAATTTGTTTCTTGTTATTTCTGTCATTTAAAACCTTGTTTAACCAAATAAAACAATCTAATCATAAACAATAACTCGCCCCCTAGTTATATAACCAAACAGTAAAACACAAATATTGAAATTACCCCTTTGCGGTCAAATAACGAGTATAGGTCCGACCTAGTGTCCGACAGTCTACTTATTTGCTGTCTAGGACGATAAGACCCAGCGTGTTCGGCTAATCAAAAGGTCAATCGCAAATGTTACCGTAGTCGTGGGAGACAATTATTACTGCTGTTGCGGAGACCATAAGATATACTGACACATATAGATACTTACATATGGATATGTTGACACGGTCTCGAAAAGCGATTAATGGTGTTACTGAGATTACAAGATATGTCCGTGGATCTCGCTGCGGTCTCGGGGGACAATTACCGCCGGTTTCGCTAAGACTGAGACATGTACCGTTCGTGGCTGTTGCCACAAGATCGTAATAAACGATTATACTGATTTCACGGAGACCATAAGATATGCTCACGGGTGTTGCCGCAGATGCAGGAGATTATTACCGAAGTCGCAGAAACTGCAGGCTATGCTACTCCCGATATCCAACCTTTCCCGTCGTGGTCCCATATGAGTGGTTTTACTGTACTGTAAAGTTATAAATCATTGTTTCAATGTCTGTTTTGTACTCTGACAGGCGCCAGTGTCCATGAAGTCCCTAATCTCCGCAGCCTGGCTGTTAACAACTGCTTTTGGCAATCTCATCGTAGTTATTGTTGCCGAAGTACAGTTCTTTGAAAGTCAAGTAAGTACTACTTAATTTACCATTTAACAATGACTATTATGAGGTTTTTTTATGCAAAATTAGCAAAATAAAAATGGATCTATTTATAATAAATTGTAACTGGTATTTTGTATTATATTTGAAATGCTGTTCAGTATTGCAGTACACCCCCTACAAACTTTTTTTTTATTTTCACATTATGTTTCATATATATATTATACATTTTTTTATCAAAAGGGATTTTGTTTGTATTTAATTATGGTCTTTGTCTCAAATCAAGTAGCCTAGGTACATCAAGTAGCCTATATTTGAACAAACAAAATGTTGTTTCAACCTATGGTACGGTTGTGTAGATACTGTAGACGATTTATCAAAATGACACTCAGATAGAACAGTAAGGTGCATTATGATTGATAATTTTTGCTCTTTAAAAGATTGAACCACTTTGATGAAATATGCTTAGTTTTTCATCAAAATGCTAACTCTTAACTCTACAACCAATTAATTGTCTTTTTGTTCCTTTTGTTGTTATTCAGTACAGCAGTTTATGCTAAATACATTGCATATTTCTTGCAGGTGCACGAGTTTATACTTTTCGCAGTTCTCATGGTGATCGACATGGTCATCTTCATCTTCATGGCACTCAACTACAAGTATTACAACCCTAACTCTAACTCTTCAAGCTCCAAAGAAATCCCTGCTGAAAAACAGAATGACTAAAAATGTTCATCAACCTTGTTTTACCCCGACTGTGATTCCAGTATAATTTTATTTCTTTAAACGCTTAGGATAAGAAGCTGTAAGTAAAATTCAGTTTCATGACTACTTATTGAGTTTTATCAATCGTAAAATTAAAGTATTCACATTGATGATTTATAATTTAAGTATTAAAAAAAATATAAATAATAGTTTTTAATCCCTTGCTGATGTACTTTAAACTATATTTTTGCAACTCTTGTATTTCATCCTACAAATTGTTCCTTAAATATTGAACTAAACTTGTGAAAAATAAAATTCAGTATTGTTTTCAAATCAAACAGTTGTAAATAATATATAAGTTTGATCAATACCTACCTATGTTAAGTTTTTACCTTTTAGTTTTTAGTTTCAATAGTTTATTTAAAAAACAAGTGCAAAAACCTTTATAAAAATATGTTACACCAATAAATATGTTTTTTAACACTCTGTGTTTTCAACTTCGTTTCAGGTAATCATTAAATATCAAACTATTACCCGGTATTTTATTATAAAAAAATAAAAAATAACACTTGATTAAAGCTTTTTATATTGCCATTTGAAAAACATTGGGAAGAGTTGGGTCTACATAGTAATTTGATCACAAATATTTTTGTATTTCAAATGGTTTGTGCCAAGGAAAGAAAATAATTAATTCAAATTAATATAATAATTTATTTTAATAGTCAACAGTAATAAATCTAATTGTAAACCTAATTTCCTATATACACAAACTTAAAAATATAAAAATTATATTGAGCAGCTAGACAATATACATATCCACTATAATTACAAAAATAGATAGGCATCATGCCATGAAGGTCAGCCATCACTTTTTACATAATTCCAAAAATTAAAATCATATTTTTCAATGTCGCAATGTTCAGATATAGAACTACACTAGTTGGGTTATTTGTACTAAAACATTCTTGAACCAAAAAAAATAATTCTTTTGAATAAGTGTATCGATTCAATTGTTTGTGCTGTTGCAAAGTTAACCATATTATCTAAATTTCATAACTATGTGCAACTAGTTCAAGGTTAAAAAAAATAATACATGGGTACATAACTAACTTAATAAAGAAAATAGTTCCAGACAGTAGAATAATAATGTCAGTTTAAACAGTGCCAGCTTTGTAACCTAATTCCTTGTGAAAAAGCCCAGTTGTAGGGATGATATATCAAATTAATTGTGTTGGACTCGTTGTGTAGGTACTATTAACTTCTATCAAGTGTTTTTCTGGTAATTTAGTTGTGTATCCAATTCCTTTTCCCTAAGTATTCCTGAGCTAAGTGCTCCTTCATGAGAAACTAACCTTTCAAAACAATAAGTTTGAACAATTTGAGGTTATTTTACACTCTAACATCTTCTTGTTCAGGGCACTTGACACAAACTATCACTTTCTCATATTTACAAACGTAAAGCTTTTGGTGGAGACACAGTTGCTGTGTGTCCAGCTGAATCAGGTGTTATTTTACAACACGCCTTCAATCAGCTGATCACTTGGAGGAGCGGATGCCGCGCTTTATGCGGACGACGGCTGTTATCGCAGCCAAGAACACGGCTATCCAGATGAGTGTGGAGATGTAGCCGTAGTAGACGGAGCGATGGTGGATGGTCCAGCCGCGGGCTGTCAGTGATCTGATAGACTCTGTAGAGAGAGACAGAGGGAGTAGCCAGCCCACTGACCTCAACACAGGGTGCATTCCTTCCTGCGGCCAGACCATACCTGCACAGAGGGGAACATAGTAAACAAAATGCCTTTGTTTCCGACATGCCACAAATTGTTTTTTAAATTCATTTTTTATAAGAGGTTGGTTGTCTTTTAGCGAATTTCCCCTATAGGGAATAAGCTATTACCGTAGTACTCATGGTAAGACCTGGACCCGGGACCGATTTACTTTTTCGTTTTGAGGTCCCTAGAGACCAAAAACACCATCCGTTCATATTCATATATATTTATATTATATAGAACTTCGCCGACCATATAATGAACACAGACCACAGTTATAAAAACATGAAAGAAAATCTAACAATTTTAGAATTTGAAAAAGAACGTGAGAAACTTAATGTAAAAGAAGAGCTAAATATTTATATACACAACAAAAAGGACCCCAACAACATACTCAACACAATGATTCCAAAATTAAACCAACCTATCTACGATAAAATTGAAAAACTAAGGAAAGAAAGAAAAACATTCATATAGTATAATGAAAAATTAATACCAAAATGTATTAACATTTAGTTAACATATTTTATTATTTTTACATATGATTATATTTTTAATTTTGTTAGTTTAAAGAATGAGGTTATGGTAAAAATGACTTGACAATGGACTTAGTTCCGAAACATGTCGTCATGAAAAATAAAATAATTACTAAAAGGGTACTTTGTTATATATGTTTTAATTTTATTATATTAGTAGCCCTAAAAATGCAAGAAAATAATATATATATTTATATATATATTTATATATGTGTCCGTTAGCGCGATAACTCAAGCAAAAATTATCCGATTTTGATGAAATTTGGTACAAACGTGTAAACCTACGTTTATTCGAACGAGTTCGCGAACCAGCATGATCGGACTATGGAAACAGGGGTTTATGGGGGGTTTTATAAGGGAAAAATTGGTTTTTCCCATTTTTTACCCTAAAAACTTAAAATTTAGCATTTTCTCTTTAAACCATTTTGTAGAGCTAAAAAAAAACAAATAATTTAGTATATTGAAGCGTTATCATGCGCCAAATGGGTACGGAGAAAATTCCAAAAAACTGTAAATTTAAAATTCCCATGTTATTCTTATATGGAGAATAAGTAAACTGTTGTAGTGTGCTTGTTTATGATCATATTTTGATCAAATTTGGGAAATGCATTTATTTCATACTAAACTATTAACATTTTACAAAAAAAAAAAACACCTTTTTACCCTCTCTTTTGCTGCAAACCTAAGTACTCGTTAAACTAATGTTATTTAAATAGGGAATAAATGTGATATTTTTAAGGAGACATTTTAGTGTAAATCCAATCAGGCAAATGGAAATTCGCTTAGTCTGCAGGTTTGCTGTGGCGGGGGTATTATAATCATATGCCAGTCCACATAGACCTCAGGTCTGTGCAAACACCGTTTTATAACATAAGATCACCAGAGGGAGGGCTGTTGATCTCAAATAATTAGGGTCTAAATTTATACTAGTTTTTTTTCTTCTTGAAAACAAACTAAATAGTATTAAAGGAGAGAAATAACCTTATATTAACGTTGGATGGAAAATTAAATAAATCCTCCCACCATGACTTATCGTGCTAAAGTTAAGGTGAAATATTTTGGCTTAAGAATAACATTAAGAAACTAATGAAGTAGTCTTTTTCACGTTGGAGAAAGATTGCAGATTCTAACTTATTTTCTTCCTGTATGGACTTTGAAACTCTCTTAGTAAAATGATGATATTACAGACACAAATGCACATTCAAGAGTTTCAGGGCTAAAAAGTATTTGAAAGGGTTTTAAATAAAATTCCAACGTTCAAACTTCCTCATCTATATATATAAAAGGCAAAGCCCTCACTGACTCACTCACTCACTCACTCATCACTAATTCTCCCACTTCCCATTTACCTAGGAGGCTGAAATTTGGTACACCGATTCTTTAGGCATTAAATAGGAAAACTAAGCTGTTTTTATTCTGATCGGACTCTCGGGCTCCGCCCCAGTGGCTCTGGAGTTTCCCATGTTAACCTTATGAGTTCTCATATTTAAATGGAATTAATGAATCTTAACAGCTGTTTCAATTAAACATGTTGGTTCTGTTCTATGATGTTCAATAGCATTAAAGTTACAAGGATTACCAACAGGATGCAGCACTATTATTTCTTTTACATTTATGACAACAGCTAATTTGCAACCAAAAGGTGAGTGAGCGTAGCGAACGAACTTCAACTTGGAGGCGAGTTAGCATAGCGAACGAGCTAACCTGAAGGCAAGTGAGCGCAGCGAACGAGCTCCAACCTAAAAGTGAGTGAGCGTAGTGAACGAACTTCAACCAGGACGTGATTGAGGCATGCGAACGAGCTCACTTATGAAGTTAAACGGGGCAAAGCCCGCGGGTACAGCTAGTCTTCCATATAAACTTAAAACCATCTTTGGTGTTTTGATAAGATTTTATGGTCACAAATATGCAATCAAAAGTTGCAGGGATTTGAAGTAAGTGTAAGGTCATGATATAAAATTACATAGCAGTAACCAGATGAAACTGTTCACTGAAACGCTTCAGCACTCTTTATCATTTAAAGTTATTTTATAACTAGGTTTTTACCAGTTACAGCTTCTTTCCTACTTACCACTTGTTAAACAAAGTGGGAAGAACGAGCCCATTCCCATGAATGAGGCTGTTGTCATGGTCTCAGCCACAACTGATACTAGGAACCCTGTAAATGGAATAAGGTTTTACATCACTAGTTAGAATAAATTTTGATTATGTAGAATAGTTCCTCTCATTTTAACTATTATTTTTTGGGTGAAATGGCCACGTCATTCTAATGGTGATGAAATGTTTCAATATCAGATGTAAGTCACGTTTCTCTTTGTTTCAGCTTGGCAGCCATCATAGCTGCTTCTCCCCACCCGCTCATAATCATTTTAGTTTTAAAGTTCCCCACTAGGTATCAAACTCTGAGCAAACATTATAACTTATTGAGTAAAAAATATGCCTTTTTTAGTAATTGAGGCTGGGTTTCCGAGCGATTCATTGTTTCATGTTGTGCATTACCAATGGCCACCTGAGCAGCAAGGAAAAGCGACAAACAATATTAAATTCCTAAAAAACTACAGCCAGTACAGTTATCTGGCTACTGAAATGAATGAAAAAGAACCTAAAAAAGTTTTGTATCACAAAGGGTTGAAATTATATTTGAATAGTTTTTCTTAAGAATGCCTCAGGAACTATTGAACTTACCATAACACATGCCACAGACACCCTGTAGCAGCAACAGCCCTGTTGTCCAGTAGAAGTCTCCTATGAAAGGACTGTCAAATACTTTGTACATCACGAGCAACATAGCGCTGGTCTGAATCAGTAACACTACGAACTGAATCAGCGAATGTGCCAGCACAATCTCCAGCGCTGTCAAACCTACAACGCAAAAAAAACTTTTGCACTCTCAATATTTCTTTTGAAGTTTGGTGTAGAATGGAGTGAGGTTAACTAACTGATCAGGTTGTTTCTTTAGCCAAGATCATTTATTGAAAGTATAAACTAACAAGAAAATCTGGGTTTAGAATCGGAAAATCAAAAACTATTGCCTCTTCTCAAAATCCAACCCAGCCATTTTTATTACTAGGCAAGAAAAAAAACCGCTCAGACAACCGTTTTTTATACTCTTGAATTTACAGTACTTTCAAGAAAGTAGTTCTGTAAAAACAATAGCTGTGCTTGTTTAGTTAGGCCAAGTTGTTTAATTTGGCCAAATGAAAGGGTAGATTATTGTATTGAGTTTTTGCTGAGATGAGGGGACAGTCTAGCGTTAGTGCTAGTGTCAGTTAGTGTTTCGCTTTGATTTAAAACCCCTATCAACCATCAGTGGCTGTTTGCTGTGATAATGCAGTCTTGTTATTTTGAAACCCACTTTTAGTCACTTCCTGATAAACCTATACTATAATTTAATCATTTGGTGCCTTAGCACTTTCCTCTTTACACAAATAATTTAAGAGTAGTAACAAAGAAAGGGGGTTTGTAGCATCTCTTATATTTTTAGCCTGGAAATAAAATGGGTTATTTTTTACCCAGAGTTAGATGGGTTTAATTCCCACAATATGGATTGGATTTGGCTTTTCCCAATCACCATTTGAATAAAACTCTCGCATGTCCTCTGAAAAGTGCCACAGGCGTGGATAATAAATTATTTTCTTAAATTATTTATAACAATACAGTAAATCATAACATACCAGCTACCATACTTCTTTCTAAAATTCCAGCCATTTTTTCTTGTAGAAGCACTCCAACAGTAAACATCACTGGCAGATAAAACTCAAACCTGGAAGAAAGAAATTTATCAGCACACTAATAACTAATGATGTAAACTAGATTTTTGTAGGGCTCCTACAACTTAAACAAATATTCTTCTGTTAATAGTAATTTATTTAGTACCTGGGGCCAAAAATGAGGTTTTGCCGGCTCATGATAGTTCTTAAATTCGAGACGAAGTCTCGAACTTGAAACGATTGTGAGCTGCAAAACCATTTCGGTCCGCAGTACGAGCACTATTTTTCACCACACTATTACCACTATTCACCACAATAATAATGCACACTAATAGTCAACACAAGTACAACTTTAAGGCTATGTGAAGAAATAATTTGAGGAATCAGCAAAAATAATAATAAATAGTTGCTAGGCAGCAGTGACAATAAAATAATTCTATTGCAATGCTATGGATACTGATTGTGTATTATGCATCATTGTTTTAAGAAAGTAAGCGGGCAGCTGATTTTCGGCCCTAGGGATGGAAAAACCTGCTCGGTCCAAAAATGACGATGACAGCAATACGTAGCTTTTGGCCTCCAATAAATGTTTGTAAAACGGCAAAAAACATCGTAGTGCGGTGAAAATGAATTAATTGATCTAGTACACAATCAATTTACCTTGGTGGAGACAAACTATTTGAAAATATTGGCATCAATTACATTTAAGGTGGAGAGTTCTAAAACTTACAGAATGATGACGGCAGGTGATGCAAAGTGGAGAAAACTTGGCCTTCTTGATCCGTAAACAGGATCGTTAACCTGAAAACAACCAGATATAATAGAAGATTAAATAATAATACTGCTAGGTAAAAAAGATCTAGTTACACAAAACAAAGCTGCTTTTATAAAAAATCGCACATATTAATGGATACTAACTGTAACATCATTCTAGATTTGATTATGACTCTTGATTTATAATGTTAACACAATATTTTAAACTAACACTAATTAACATCTTACATACCTTAATGGGGACATCAATGGCTTGCTCCGGCCACTCACAGTCCCGGAACACACTCCTCAGAAACGCAGCGTAGCTGGTCACCAGGTCTGTTCTTAGTAGATTGCCTATGTACTGATCTGAAATAGTAGTCATGAAAATAGTGAAAATCTTAGTAAAATTAAATGTTCTAAGAACAACAATTTTATATTAGTTCATGTATTTCTTATTTGTATGTGTTAAAAAACCCCTGGCTCTCATTATACACCCTCCGACTCCCTACTGGTAAGCTTATTACAACTTTAAGAGTAATTAACAAACATAAATATCTACAAGTACGCTTATTCTGTGTGTCACGGGGTGAGTGAACTCAGAACGAGTCCAACAATGGGCGGATTAAAACTCACCAACCAAAAAATTCAATCATCATAATAACAACTTTTTACTAGTATTTTTTTGGCGGGTTAGTCACTGGGATCGTGGAAACTGTATTCACCTGTTTACCAGCATTGTCACGATAGTTACCGGGATGGCGGAACACCAGTATCGTGCTGATACCAATGATTTTAAAATTGTTTGAGGTGTAGTGGTTAGAGTACTTGTTTAATTTACTCTATTAAATTATTTTATATATAATTTATTCAACAATTTAAGATAACTATCCAAACCTAGTGCTGCAGCTACTTGGTTGTTACATAACACATACTTGACATATCTAGTCTGACATTGACCATAGCGTCCTCGATGATGTCGGGGTCTGCGTTCTGGAAGTCCTCAATCCTCTGGACCAGAGCCTCCGTGTAGTTGTGGCCGAAGTGTACGATGCCCCACGCCTTGTTGCTGCGTACTACTGCCTCCGCTTCTTCCAGGTTGTGATACTCTACCTGTTGAAAAGTTAAGAGTAAAAAATACTAATAAGAATGATAATAAATACGAGTTGCTAAATATTGTGGTCTTGTTTAAGATCAACTCTTTTTGGTAACGTCAAGAATGTGATTAAGTTAAATCATAGACAAATAGAATAATAATATAGACTGGCAGCTGTGCTTGGTTAGCATAGGTTCTGGCATCCACCGCTAGGATTGCCGTGTGGTTACGGCGCACACCGCTGCAGAGTCGACTGGTAGTATACGGTGTGGAGCCGATGATGGCAGTGAATCGAACACCGAGCGGCACATCGCGGACCTTCCTTTGACAGTCCATATTTATTCTATTTGTCTATGGATAAATTTAAATAAACAATTCATAAACAAAAACTACATCCAACAAACTGGGAGGAACTGACATTAAAATTGACTTCAGCTGATCCATAAGGAGAAAACATCCATAAGGGAGTATGATTAATGACAGAAAAAGGTCTGAACAATAGTCTATGATAGAACTCTCAAGGAGCTAAACAAAGCTATGATTGAACCTGCCAGTATCTACACCAGAATCAAGAACCATTGCTGTTGCTGGCTGGATGGCTGGATAGGGTCAGTAGAGAGAATTACTGACATTACAATACACTGTTGATATCAGCTGATCATATACTCAAGTGAAAACTATATTTAAAAAAAATCTCAGCAACAGCAGCACTCCTATAGTATGTGTACACACTTGCAGATTCAAACCAAATGTTTGATTGATTTGTTTGGCTTGGTGAGAGTTCTGTGTTGGGTCTTTATTCCGTGGTTTGATATATGACAAATTTAACATGTTTATTTGTTATGTAACAGTTGTGTTCTTACCACGCTGAGTGTTTTCCCCCGCATGTGCATCAGATAACGACAGCTGAGGGGGAGGTCGAGGTGACAGCCGGTGGAGGGGATGTGACCACAATCTGACAAGCCGTGCTCCAACTCATCATTGACCACAGCCAGCTTCAACCCCTGCGGATCCCTGCCGATAGCCAGGTTGTACAAGGTACACTGTAGGATGGGTAGGCCGAGTAGAAACAGCATCATCCTGTGTAGCACAACAATATTATGTCTGGTTGTAATGGTATGGACAAGTTTTAACTATGGATAGAACTAGACATGCTGTTCCTATGTTAATGCAGTAGTTTGTTTTGTAATTAAAAGGATGTAGCTAAAATATGAGCCAACAACAGAATACACTGGTTTATCACTATCTCGGTTGAATATGCATACTATTCAAGGAAACCGAAACCAAATCCAAGGGACAAATAATGTACTGCAGCATATTTTATGTCCCATCAGGAACAAAAACCAATGGAACAGTTTGATAATAGCACACCTTGTGAGTAGCACATTCAACTATATCCAATTTAAATAAAAATTAAATGTTAAATACAAAATTAATTGTTCAGTTGCATTATAGCAATTGAACAACGGATGAAGAACCTCCCAGTAATCGCTAAAACCACACTTGTAAGCACTGTTGTTTCACTTTCACAGAAATTGTATTATTGATATTTTTGCCATTTTAATGTGATACTGTATTAGAGCATATCAGAAAAATAAAACATATATTTTGTACAAATACAAAAATAAAGCAATTCTGAACCTTTCTAGATCTGTCACGAGGCACACACATACAGTTTTAGTCAAAACTATTATTTTTCCTTAAAAGGCCAATTCTTTTTAGCTTACGGTTTATTTCTCCACATGAAGAAGAGGTTTTTAATAAGTTGAGCAACAAATCTGGAGGTGGCAAAGATGTCTCCGTTTTGTAGAGGAGGTTGTGGCAGAGGCTTCTGTTTCTCAGGATAAGAATGTCTCTGCAATACATTCCAAAATATGATTACTGTAAAGATATTGAGAATACAATTTATCATGAGCAGAGGTTACCTACTGAACATTTCAAAAGATATAACTTAGGTAATTTTTTCCGCAGTTTGTTGTTATTATCAACTATTTATTTTTAGAATAAGTATGGTAGTTAGAAGTCTGTAACAATGATCTCGTAAGTGACAAACTTGTTTACAGTTTACAAACTTTTATATTTGGGACTATTATAAATTTAAACAACCAATAATTTTTTAATCATCTTTGTCTTTCTCTAAGTGCTACGTTAGCCAGATTTAAGTTACCTTGTCCAGTTCATCATCACTGCCGGTCGTACCATGTTGACGCGCGCTCAACTCCAGGAAAGCATGTTCGAGCGTGTCACTCCCACAACTGGCCATCAACTGATTGGGCGACTCCTCGGCCAATAGAACACCTCCACGCATCAATCCTACCTTCAAAACACACTTTCTATAATACATATCAAGTGAGGAGAGTGAATTCAACTGAATTGCTCAAATTAGAAACAACATCATAAGAGTTATAACAAAAGAACGTTTAATCTTAGTTCTTGATGATTCTTAGAAGCAAAAAGTAAACAAAAATAGATAGATATTTTATTCACTTGTAATTTTGTTTCAAATTTGCTGTCAAACACTACATATTTTTTGTTTGAGACAGTGCATTGTAAATACAAAATAATTTAGTAAGATATTTTTCTTTCTGGACACTGCTGGTCTAGTGGTTAGAGCTACGGATTACTAATTCTAAACTTGGGTCCTAAACTGGTCAGTGGTCTGTCACCAAATTTTAGCTAATTGATAATTCTGTGATCTAGTGATTTAGAGGATACCTTAAGCCTTAAGAAGGACCAAACTATTTAGACATATAAAAAAGGGAATGCATTTCAGACAAGGAGAACAGTTACTGTAACATTAACATAACTGCCTCCACCGCAAAAACCAATCTATATATTAATAGGCAAGCATTTATCTTTAAAACCTTTTTTCTCAGCTTGTGTGTATCACAGGGGAAATATACACATACTGTTAGAAAGATATTTTCCTGTAGATGTGCAGAACCCCTTTATAAATTAAAATATGCTAAAAAATAAGCACAAAAAAATTAATTCAAATTTTTTTAATAACATGGGCCTCATGGGTTGCAATGCTGGTGACGAAATAACAACAAAATATGAACAGAATATTGAAACAAATGGAAGAAATTCCAATCACATGTTTTATTTACAGCAGCGTGGGATGAAAGTAGTGAACTCTATACATTATTATTGGTCCAGTTTTCGACCACTGGACGACCTCTAGTTTTTTTTACTCCCACAGATCTCTACTGCATCCAGCAAATAACGTGGACAACCACAAAAATAACCAAATTTTAAAGGATGCTAAACATAATAAATTAAAAAATAACTAGATAATGTCATGATAACTTTTAAAATATCATGATTTACATTTAACGCTACAATGACTGACCACATGGGCTTGCCTGGCCTCCTCTATATAGTGAGTGGTGATAATAATGCTTTTCTTATCATTGCTCGTCAGCTTCAGAAGGTGCTCCCAAATACTGCAACATTACAAGAATGTTAATATTGTATTTGTATATACATTTACTAAACATGTATTTCTCAGTGTTTAGTTACTTGTTAAAACAAGTTAAACTGTTGTTATAAAAAAATTGCCTGATTGGATTTTCACTGAGACATTTCCTTAAACAAGGGACATTTATTCCCAAATTAAATTACATTGGTTTTAACGAGTAGCTTAGGATTGTTGCTACAGGCTAAAGGAAAAGTAATAAAGTGTGTATTTTAGTGAAATGTTCGTTAGTACATCCACACACACATATGATTTTTAACCGATGGTGTTTTTTGGCTCTGGGCACATCAAAACAAAAAGTAAATATTGGTCCCGGGTCTATGTCTCGCCCTGAGACCTACAATTAGAGAAGCCAATAAGTTTGAGATTGGAGTAGGTACCTTATATCATAGACAAATAGAATAATTATAGACCGTCAGCTGTGCTGCGGTTGCATAAGTTCTGGCGTCCACTGCTAGGTTTGCCGTGTAGTTACGGCGCACACCGCTGCAGGCGAGGAGCGCAGGAGCCGTATGCGACCAGCAGACACTGCAGCGGTGTGCGCCGTAACTACACGGCAAACCTAGCAGTGGACGCCAGAACTTATGAAATAATAAATAAATAATAAATAAATAATAAATAAATATAGACTGTCAAAGGAAGGTTCCAGCACCCACCTCTAGGAGTGCTGTGTAGTTACGGCGCACACCGCTGCAGTGTCTGCTGGTCGCATACGGCTCCTGCGCTCCTCGCCTGCAGCGGTGTGCGCCGTAACTACACGGCACTCCTAGCGGTGGGCCCGGAACCTTCCTTTGACAGTCTATATTTATTCTATTTGTCTATGCTTATATTCATTCACAAATAATTTTTTATCTTATGCCACACATATAACACGTAGTATGGTACAATAGACAACTTTTCTTCACTACTCGATTCTTAGTTCCTTTTGACATTTCATAAATACGGTAATTTAACAGTTGACAAAATATGAGTAGAAGTGCAAGTTGCTATGCTGTGTAGGTACCTATGGCTGAGTACAGGGTCTAGGCCGACAGTGGGCTCGTCGAGTATGAGTAGTTGAGGATCATGTAGTAGAGCGACTGCGAATGACACCCTCCGTTGCTGACCCCCACTGTAACATTGGGAAACACATTTTGAGTTTAATCATTGACTTTTGGATATTGGAGGTAGACGTGTTGTCCATGGACCAGTTGTAGCAAATTTGAAATTCTAAAAATCATTTATGAACCATTCACACAGTGTGCTATGGTCTAAAATTTGTTACTAAAACTGTGATATTTCATTGGATGTGAAAGACGCCAGTTTACGATACGGATGTAACATATAGCACAAGGGTCTAGGATTTTAGGATTTTTTGTAAATATAGTAGGCTTATCTGAATGGGAAAGAGTCCAAACAAACTGGCATATGAAACACATTCTAATGTTTTCCATTTATAGTGTTAAGTTTTGTTTAAGTGTTGTCCCCATTTAGGACATTTAGGTAAGCTTGCTTTTCTCACGAAGAATCATATAGTTGATGATAAGTTTTCCTTCTAATTTGTCTAAAAAGCGACACTAATTTACATCAGTGAACTCTGTTGGTGACTCAACTATAACATGAAAATGGAATGTTTCGTTGTATCCATAGTCAAAGGTTTAACACAGTTATTAGTAATAGTAGTACTTTATAAAGGCACAATTATTTTTCCTTTTCTTATAAAATACAATATTTCAAATATAAAACACCATAGGGAACTGAAAACCATTAGTCTATAGTCATAAACAGTGTGGTAAAACATTCGTGGTGGTCGTTTAATTAATAGTTTGTCCCCAGCTGTGTTGCCAGCTGCTTTGATGATGACTCACAATATCACATATTATTCATTTTATCATTGTTGTTCTTCCACTCAATGTAGTTGACGTATAGTATTTAGATATTTCTTAAAAACTTGAATATATAATATACTAGCTGTTGTACCCGTGCTTTGCAACGGGAAGAGAACACGAAATAGAAACATTTTGATCTTTACATCTGTTGATAAAATAGTTACACATAAGCCTTTTAAAACAAAATTTAACCATTATGCCCTTTTTAGGGTATAATAGATGTTGGCATAAATGTAAAAAAATAATAGTACTGCATCCTGTTGGTAAACCTTGTAACTTTTTAATGCTATTCAATATCATAGAACCAACTTGGATAGTTGAAACAGCTGACAAAATTATTTTATTCCTTTTAAATATGATTACTCATAAGGTTAACATGGGAAACTCCAGAGCCACTGGGGCTGAGCCCGAAAGGACTTTCGAGATAAGAATGCGTCTATATGTTAATCGGGAATGTGAGCTATCATCATACCAAATTTCAGCCCAATCCGACCAGTATTTTTCGCGTTTACTTGTCACAAACATACATCCGTACATCCATACATCCAAAATTAGTAGGATAAAAAATAATCTAGAAACTAGTTACGTAATTAAACTGTGAGTGAAAATTTGCCTAAAAGCCTGTATTGCAAAAATTACTTTTTAAACCAAATGAGTGATTTGTTGACAATTGGTAATTCTTGTTAATGTGACACCTGAACACAAGATTGCGATAGCAAAAATCAAATCAACGGCAGTGCCCATTTTTTTTTTTTATAGGTAGTAAATTAGTTTTAGTAAAACTTTACATTTTTATATACTTACCGGTACACGCTAAAGCTGGGTTTTCCTAGGCGCGGAAGCGGAGCGCGGTGAGCGGACTCCTCTTGTCTTAGGTAATTTAATGTTACTGTTTTCCTAGAAGCGGAGCGGAATGCCATGTTAATCGCTTTTCCGCTCTCCGCCCTCCGCTCTCCGCGCTCTCCTTCCGCGTCTAGGAAAACCCAGCTTAATAAAACGGCCATAGTGTAAAAGACAATGTGACATTGAATTTAAGTCCACACACCTGAGTTTATCAATTATGGTACCAGCTGATTTCAGTTCCAACAGTCGTATGAGCTCCTCAGTGCGGAGATAAACCTCTCTTCGACTCATCCCATAGAGTCGGCCGTAATAGAGGAATGTCTCCAGGATACTCAATGTGTTGTACAGAGCCACATCCTGCAACAAGGATCAGTTTATGATGTACCGTAAACATTACTACTACGCTGGTGGTTCAACTTTAGTATTCAGTGGGAAGACCAAAGTATGTATACAGCAAGAAAATACGTTAATAGACTATGAAGTTTTGTTTTAAAAGGTATGAAACTTAATGGTAATGTCTAATAGTAAAAAACAATCATTGAACAAAATGAACAATCAATTATTCAACACTTGTAATACTCTCAATTCATTGATTGATCTTTTCATAACAATCAATCCTAATCCATAAAATGGACCAATATAAACATTTAGAAAGTTCTACATAGTCAATACAATAACCATAACCTGTGGACATGGGTGTCATTTGGGTTGGCGCTAATTAAGAAACTTAAAGTATAGCATTGAGTTTCAGACCACTCAAAATTTGAACAGAATGTATCTTATAGGGAAAAAACATAAAATTTTGTGAAAATATAACAAAAGCAATCAATAGAACAGCAATTTTCTGAACTTATTATGTCTGAGGATGTATCATTAATGACACCATTCTCTATATTGTAAATTATGAACAAATCATTCAAGATTCTGATTCTGGCATATATCGTAGGCCTACCTGGGGCATGTATCCAACGTCAGCTTTCTTCTTAGCCTTTGTGGTGATCTGTCCTGCGTCCAGCTGAATCCTTCCCACAATGCAACTGAGGAGGGTCGTCTTGCCACAACCACTAGGTCCCAGGAGGCCATATCTGAAACATGATAAACATGTTACATATAAAACATTTATATTGATATAAATTTCTTACAAGTGTTTACAATCTTACTATTTTTTTATCCTTTCAATTGTACTTAGGAGGACATAATATTTCTTACAGAATGTGTCATTGGTGTAATAACATGTGACATTGGCACTCTTGTTACTCGATTTAATATTGCCCATCTCTCAAAGTCAAACCTAAATTGATCTCATCTATCTATTTTCAACCATTTCGCCGTGTATATGGTGCACAAATGTCATAATTAACTGTAGTTATCATGAGTGAGGTATGTTAACTCATACTAAAATACTCTTCAAGGTAAAATCAAAAGAATTATTTAATCAAGGCTTGTTAATCTTGTTAACATCTTGTCTCTTCTTAATCTTCTTCTTCAAGCTGGTTGTTCACACTAAGCTAGAAACATAACCGAAGGTAGCACTAAAACAGCAACTCAGTAAAATAATTTACAGTGATTTTGAAAATAAAATTAATTTTTATATTTTACAAGTATCTCTTTTTTCCTTTTTTCATCTAAAGGATGGCAAACAAAACCCCCCTTCTCTTTGTCTACTTAAGCCATAAAATTACACACAAAATCATTATTGCTTGTAAATTAGCACTAGCCAGAAACAATACATCTCAACTTCGTCACGTTATTTACTCAGGACCAACAATGGTGTTGCGATGGATGACGAAGAAAATATTAATGAACCTCTTCTGTCCTCTAATACTTGATATGCAACAAGATAGGTTTGAAGTGTGGTTTAAATAATACATTTTGATCCCTAACATCTCTGTTGAGACTTACTGATGGTCTTATATAAAACATTCATCTTATAAGCAAACATTCCTATTGTTTTTTTTTTTTTTTTTTTTACAATTTCCTTTTCAAACATGTTTAAAGTTTAATGCATCTGTACCCAAATGAATAGTTCATTTTCCAGGTGACAAGGAGCAGAGCTCGCCCAGGGGAACGCTACCTCTCTTTTGGAAGGATAAAAATATGGGCATAAATAAATACTATTCGCAAAATAGGTTATAGTTTCGGCACCTCAATTTTTACAAATCGAGCACTGTGTGTACAGTACTATTAATTCCAGCATGAAATTTGTTTGATTAGTAAATGCAAGAAACATGCAAAGGAATCAAGCTTGCTGGAATGGACTCACAAACATGATTCAAATCAGAATCAAGATTAAAAATTCTAGTTTCAAAAGAATCGCAAAAAGGGATTAGACTGATATATGGTTTTTATTGTAAAAAAGCAACTGAATACCTATTTTAATTTTATAGCTTCTGAAAACTAGCATTAGTCCTGTTTCTTTATCATACCCTCTCTTGTTATTTGAGGTGTTTTAGACATTCAAGCCACACTTTGACCTGTCACTCTTGTCTCAGTGACATTGTTATGTTAACCAAGGTCTTGGCAGGGTTATGTTTCTCTGATGAACCGCACAAACATCATTGGAATTTGCATTGTTGCTTCATTTGCGTGTTGTCATCAAGGAAGCTTTTAAGACATCATTCATTACTACACTATCACAACTGGCAAGTGGCGACTCTTTTCTGGCATTCAAACCTTGACCTTAGAGATTGACCTTTAAAAACTCCCTCGAAAGTTGTCAGTCAGTATTTTGTCATGCGATTTTTGGTTGTGAATGTTAGATACCATAAAATTGTTTATTGTAAATATAGCTACTTAAACAAAAAAGCTTTGGTAAACTAGCATTTCATCTTGTTCCATGCTCTGAGATGCATAAACAGCTTGATACAAAATATACTGAAAAGTAAAGACCTTCCAATTAGGTAAGGACTTCCATCGATACCTCCATAATCAGGAAAGATTAAAGAATGATGTGATTCAAACTCTAGGGGTTATATGAGGCTTCTCACTCGTAAGAAACTATTTAACGTTAATTTCATGAGAAAATCCTACTTTTAACAGTCGTGTTAGGATAGTGGATTTTGTAATGTAACCCATCTATTACAGTTAAGCAATCTTTAAAGGTAACTCTTTTGTTTAGTAATACTAAAGTGTGAAAGTGTCCCTATACTGTAAGGTAATTTGTTATAGTATTGGGAGAGTTGAACTATTGTAAAATGTTGATCCATAAACAGTATGTTTATCCCAAATCCCTGGACAGAGCAAAGTGTCTTTGACCAGACACAGCAGGTCAGGGAAAGTTGTTACACAATATAGTAGCCAGGAATCAGCTGGTCCCGCTGGTCCAGCTCTGCATAACCTTTCATCTACCTTGTCCCAGACAAGGTAGATCTTGTCCCTCCTTGCTTTTGCTGTGATGCAATCAAATCAAATCAAATCAAAAATACTTTATTTATTTCATGCACATAGGTACACATAAATAGTGTCAAACAATTACATTAAAAATCCATCAGTCTACGAACCTTAACTATTAACATAATTTGTCCTGAAATTTACTTTTAATTCTTTTGTGAACAAAGAATTAAGAACTCCTATATAAGAATTAAGATTAATCATATAAGACCTCCTAAGTTGTAGACTAGGGTACAAGGACTAGTGTTAGAAAATGTTTATATTTGTTTCTTTTTCTACTGGCTTTAGTACATTTAATCAAAGTCATCACATGATCCTACTAATATTATAAATGAGAAAGTTTGGATGTATGGATGTATGTATGGATGTATGTTTGTGACAAGTGAACGCATTAACCACTGGACGGATTTTGCTGAAATTTGGCATGATGATAGCTCACATTCCCGATTAACGTATAGGCATATTCTTATCTCAAAAATCCTTTCGGGCTCCGCCCCAGTGGCTCTATAGTTCCCCATGTTAACCGTATGAGTATTCATATTAAAAGGGAATTAAATAATTTAGTCAGCTGTTTCAACTAAAAAGTTGATTCTATGATATACAAAAGTATTAAAAACTTACAAGGATTACCAACAGGGTGCAGCACTATTATTTTTTTTTTATCTATGACAACAGCTAATTTGCAACCAACATCCTGAAGGCAAGTGAGCGTAGCGAACGAGCTAACCTGAAGGCAAGTGAGCGCAGCGAACGAGCTCCATTCTAAAGGTGAGTGAGCGTAGCGAACGAACTTCAACCAGGACGTGATTGAGCCATGCGAACGAGCTCACTTTTGAAGTAAAACGGGGCAAAGCCCGCGGGTACAGCTGAGTGAGCGTAGCGAACAAACTTCAAACTGGAGGCGAGTTAGCGTAGCGAACGAGCTAACCTGAAGGCAAGTGAGCGCAGCGAACGAGCTCCATTCCAAAGGTGAGTGAGCGTAGCGAACGAACTTCAACCAGGACGTGATTGAGCAATGCGAACGAGCTCACTTATGAAGTAAAACGGGGCAAAGCCCGCGGGTACAGCTAGTATAAAATATGTTTTCTTTAATATTGTTATTCTTGTAAACAAACATGAATTAGTTTAATTTAAATAAGAAAATAAAAAGCTTGTGTTACTTTAAAAGTGATTTTAATATTACAATTATTTTGAGAAAATCACTTATTTAATTGGCAAGTTTTTACAACTAAGTTTGTTTTAAGTCATTTATTTGTGAAGAGGAGATCAATTATTTCAAACATACTTTACAATCATGACATTAACCACCTTAAAAAGTGTATCTATAGTCCTGTCAAGAAGCTTTTATTTTACGGTGTGCTTTGTAACAAACTTGTGGTAACAAAATCAAACGATTTGTGAAGATGTCGTAGAGCAGCAGGTTAAGTAGCAATTAGCAGCATTGTAAAAAAATCACAATTTCTCATAGTGATTTCAATAGTGTTGTTTACATTAGTTTACCCTTGTGTAGTTTTAATAAGATAAAATATCTTATTTTATTGTTTTTAATCAGCTTTATCAAAGTGTTATCTATACTATTATAAAAAAGAGGTGGTGTCTGTGTGTGTGTATGGGAAAAGTAAACGCGAAAACTACTGGTCGGATCGGGCTGAAATTTGGCATGATGATAGCTCATATTCCCGATTAACATATAGGCATATTTTTATCCCAAAAATCCTTCCGGGCTCCACCCCAGTGGCTCTGGAGTTTCCCATGTTAACCTTATGAGAAATGGAATTAATGAATCTTAACAGCTGTTTCAATTAAACAAGTTGGTTCTGTTCTATGATGTTCAATAGCATTAAAAGTTACAAGGATTACCAACAGGGTGCAGCACTAGCACTATTATTTCTTTTACATTTATGACAACAGCAAAAGGTGAGTGAGCGTAGCGAACGAACTTCAACCTGGAGGCGAGTGAGCGTAGCGAACGAGCTAACCTGAAGGCAAGTGAGCGTAGCGAACGAGCTAACCTGAAGGAAAGTGAGCGCAGCGAACGAGCTCCAACCTAAAGGTGAGTGAGCGTAGCGAACGAACTTCAAAAAGAACCGAAATTTCTTAAACCATGTCCTCACTCATAACTGCTATAAGCATTTGATACTTATATGCCAACCCCGTACGAAGGACGGGTACTCTGCTAGTGTTATACAAATTCGAGGAAACACTGTAGGGTTTTTTTTTATGGATGTCAATCAATTTTTATCTGACAATAAAGCACCCATTACAACTTTGAAGGTCTGAGGCAGAGCCATAAGTCAGTATAGACAATAAGACAATAGATTTCTCAGGCTAGTAGTTCTGTTAAAATTTCACCGCAACAGGATGTGTGTCAAAACTTTCTTCGGGTTAATTGATGTAAAAAGCAATTCGGGTTTGCTAAAAAAATCCTGTAAACAGGTAGGTACCGGTAATGAAAAGAAAAACAAAACAAGGAAATGAGCAAATAAAATTAATAACATAAATGATGACTTAGAAGATATTTGGTGTGTACCGGTATTACAGAAAACATAGCAAAAACCCTTAACTAAAATCAAATGGGATTGTAGACTCATGTTATTATGTATATAATTTTGCCACATATTTTACATATGATCAATTTATAAAAAACATACATTGTAAAACATACAGTCTTTAACTAATTTCCATTATGAAACTA